GCGGACGCTGAGCGGACACTGTGCGTGTATTCCTTTTCCATACGGGGAAACTGAGGCACGGAGAGGCCAAAGCCACGCACGCAGTGGCCGGGTGCGGAGCGGAATCCTGCCCCGCGGGCCGCACCCTGGCCGAGCCACCTGGGAGGAGGAGCTGGGCGCCGCGAGAGGTGTCCGGGAAGGGATGACGGAGGAGGCCAGGTTGGTGGTGGCGGGGGCAGGTGCTTTGTTCAGCCTTTGCAGAAGGAAGCGAGTGTCTGTGGTCCCAGCTGCTCGGAGGGTCAGGAGCTCAGGCCCTGGTGCACCGTGAGCACACCTGCGCGTGGCCGCTGCCCCCCAGCCTGGCGACAGACCCCGGCTGTGAAAAACAGAGGAAAAGAAAGAAACCTTGAGAGGTTGTGAAGTCACCTGCTTGTGGGCCGCCAGCAGGGGCCCTGGCAGAGGACAGTGTCCTCCTGTGTGTGTGTGTGTTGGAGGTGTCAGCCCCCGCTCAGCCCTGGCCTCCGATACTGCACAGAAAGGCACGTCCAGTGTGGCCTGGTCTAATGATTTTTCAACAGAAATCAGGAATCTGAGGCATGTGTGAAATCCCCTGATTTTTAAATATTGGCAACTAATTAATTGGTTTAAAAAAAAACTCCGTGGGCTAATCTGGAAATGTTTGCTGGTGGCCTCCAGCTGTGGCCTTTGCACTGGGGCATGGAGGGGAGAAGACGAGGTTTACAGAGCTGGAGCAGACAGTGGAGTCGGATAAATTCCACCTGAGAAATAGAAACTGCTAACGATGCCAGGTGATTGAGATCGTTCTGACTCTTAAGAGGCTTCCTTTTCTACTATTAATTTTTCTTTAAAGAACAGGGTTCATGGACGTCTGCGTGAACTTGGAAGAGTTCTTCTCCCTCCTCTCTCACAGTCTGGTCCAAGCTCGGAAATCTAGGTGCTGTCGGCGGGGCGGGCTGATTTCCATCTCTCTCTACGTCCCAGACCAGCCCGGGTGCCTGCAGGAAACCGGGGCTTCGAGTTGGCACTTGCCTTCCGTGTGGCCGGCAGACGGGCGTCTTTTGTGGACAAAGCCGGGTCTGAGATAGGTGTGATGCGGTGCAGGGGAGGGGTGAGCCGCACTCCCACCCCTCCTCACCCACTTCTCTGTCATTCGCAGACAAAGGCAGCCCTGGGGTGGGAAAAGGATGGGAGAAGGAGCAGCGGAACGGGCTTCCCCCTCAGTCTGGCAAGGCTGGAGGATTCGGGAAGCCGAGCTTTCTAGCAAGGGCTCAGGACATGCGTTACTAACCTTTCTTCTTTTTTTTTTTTTTTTTTTTAGACAGAGTCTCACTGTGTTGCCCGGGCTAGAGTGAGTACCGTGGCGTCAGCCTAGCTCACGGCAACCTCAAACTCCTGGGCTCAAGCGATCCTCCTGCCTCAGCCTCCCGAGTAGCTGGGACTACAGGCATGCGCCACCATGCCCAGCTAATTTTTTCTATATATATTTTTAGTTGTCCGATTAATTTCTTTCTATTTTTAGTAGAGACGGGGTCTCACTCTTGCGCAGGCTGGTCTCGAACTCCTGAGCTCAAACAGTCCGCCCGCCTCGGCCTCCCAGAGAGCTAGGATTACAGGCGTGAGCCACCGCGCCCGGCCTAACCTTTCTTCTTGATGCTCTGACTTCTGAAATGATTCTCGCAAAGAAATCAAATCAGCTTTCCCTTGGATGGAGGCAGCCACGCCGCCGCCTCTACCCGGACTGTGGAACTGTTAAAACCCAGCTGGAGTTGGCTACTTCTGCTCCTGCCCTCCCACACGCCCTGGGCTTGTGCTTTGGGACCTGCCCACCGGGGGCCAGGTGCAGGTTGGAGGTAGCACTTGTTCAAGAACACCTCATTAGCCCCCGTGGGTTTAGAGTCACAGTCGTTCAGAGCAGGTCAGAAGCTGTTTTTCTTTTCTGGGATAGACAATAGAGGTGACATGGGGTATATATCTGCTCTCTGCCTCTGTTACAGGCGTTTTCTTGCCTGCAAAAGCTGTTTTGAGAGTGCAGATCCGTAATTCTGCAGAGAATTACGGATTACTTTAGCATTGGTGTCCGGGCACAGGCCAGCCTTGCGGACCAACTAGGGCAGGGCTCGGGGTCCTCACGCCCCTGGGAGTGGGAGGTTTCCTGTGGCCTCCAGAGGGGCCTTCCTGAGACCTGGGTAGATGAAAAGCTGGGTATAAACCAGAGCTAAGCTAGAAGGCGGTTAGATATTTTACAGTAGGATTCTGAGTTCTTTGAAAGGCTTTACTGTAAACTTATTTCCTTCGGTTATCTTAATATGTATTTGAAATGAAACTCACTTTGTGCGTGTAGCTTTTCAGGACCGTGCCGACTGGGTAAATCAGGCTACACCCTCCGTCTCCCCTTTTCTGGGTGGCTTCTGCCAGGGTCCGTCCCTTTGCTGTGACAGTGCCATTTTATTGTCGTGACATCTGCGTGTGGACAAGTCTTGACCACTGGAATGGTGGAAGGGGGCTCTGTCGCAGGGAGGAGGAGGCCTGCAGTCTGTCTGGAAGCAGAGGGCAGGGCAGGGCCTGGGAGCCAGCAGGTGTCTCGGCAGACACAGGATGTAAGGCAGGCTGTGCAGGGCGGGCAGGCCCGAGTTCTCCGGTCCCTTGGTCGACCCTGGGTAAGGCCTGCCCTTCTGCCGCCTCCATACCCCTCTGGGCCAAAAAGACACATCTGGGGGGCCCCTGTTTGCAATTTCTGAATTTTTGGGGGCTGTGTAACAAACATCAAACCCCTGGGTAATGTCTCTTAGCGTCTTGCTGCCCAAAGTGAGGTTGAGAGAGCTTGTTGGAAATGCAGACTCACACCGCGCCCACAAGATTGGCACTTAACGAGATCTTCGGTGGTTCCTGCTCACCCTGTGGAATCCCGGATCTAAAGTACATCACAGGGAAAGGGGACATGTACAGAGGCTGGAGTGCAGGACTCCTCTTACCTCTCCTGGGACCGGGGAGGAGTTCTGGAAACCCGACTCTGTGGTACTATGGTGGATCCATGGGTTTGTTCTAAGGGCTCAGCATCCTCTCCCGGGACGGGGAGAGCAATTTTACAGTAAGACTTGTGGTTCTGGACCCCGCTTCGGGCAGCAAAGCTCACACAACCGAAAGATACTGAGCAGCGGAATCTGCCCGAAACCTCCTCAGTGAAGTTCCTTTAGCAGCTGTTTGGGTGTCGCAGCCTGGAGCGAAAGGGAGGTGTGATGGGAGCCTCGTGTCCTGCGGGAGCTCCGAGGAGAGGCATCCACTCGCCCTTTCGGTTTTCCCTTCTCAGCCCTCCCAGGTGGTCCGCCAGGGTCTGCGCCTCCCAGAGCCTGCCCTGCCCGCATTTCCCTGCCAGCCTGGCAGCAGTTCCCTGAGCCCGGAGAATTGTCCAAAGGTCGTTGTTGTAAAGGTCCACGCATCCATCCATCCATCCATATGTATTGCAAGCCCTTGGAATCGCTTGATTTATTTTATTCTCCGGTTGCTCCATTTTATTGCTTTTAACGTCCCACACGTAGAACCGTGTTGACTTTTAAGAGCAGTCGTTCAGGGGGCCAGTGGGGAGTGTTAGTAGCAGAACGTTCGTTCGTACGTCGAGAGGCTGAGATGTCCCGGATCCTCACCAAGCCCTGCGCACCCATTCCACATACCCCTCACAAGAATCCAGGCTGTCGGTGGCTCATCTCCATCTTGGGGGTGACGTGTCTGACACTCCGGGTCACGTAGCGGGCAAACGCCAGCGCGATCTCAGCCCCGTGTCCTTTCTCCTTCTCTGCCTTGGCATCAGCTCCGATGCCCTGTCACACACAAAGGACACGAGGCTGGGACTTCTGGTCCCCGCCAGGCTCTGTGTGCAGAGGATTTCCTGAGCCCGTCCACAGTCCACAGATGCGAGAGGTCAGACTCGCCTCCCTGGTGACGCGCTGGCAGAGCATGTGGCTGGGCTGCTCCTTAATCTGTCATAAATCAGAAGCTAATCAGAGGGCAAAGAAGACCTTTCGTCCACTCAGCTGCTTCTGTTTGCTTATTAACTAACTCTGCCCTGCTTTTTCTGTGACAAAGAACTTTTCACTGTTCTGTGCACAGCCGAGCTGCTGTTCTCTCCAGAAACTGGAGACCCGTCCCCAAAACCCTAGGAAGAGTAACGTTCGGTTGCGGATACTCTGACGCTCGTTAAAACTCTCCCTCTGAAACGTTTCTTTCAAGGTGCACCAGGATGCCCGTCATGGTGGACGACATCATGAAGCTGCTGTGCTCTGTTTCCGAGCAGAGGAAAATGAAGGCAGCCGTCAAGCACTCGGGAAAGGGCGCCCTGGTCACCGGGGCCGTGGCCTTCGTCGGCGGGCTGGTCGGGGGTCCGCCGGGACTAGCCGTTGGTGAGTTCAGGTGTCCCGCGGGGACGGCCAGTCCCGCAGGTGCCGTAAAAGTACCTTCGAGACCACGGAGAGAAACGGCTTCGCCAAGGTGGTGCCCCACGCCCCGAGTGAGGAGTTTGCGGGGTTCAGGTTGCTTCCGTGACGTAATCTTTGTGTATATAATCCGCCCGGTTAAAAACGCAAGCGTCCGTGTGAGTGTCTCAGAAGTGCAGGTGCTTTTGGAAATGGCATCTGTGTTGTTCAGACCTGGAGACACCTTCTCCTCAGCGCTGGGCTCCCACAGCGAATGCTCGGGGCGACTGGCCCTGCCCTTCCCCCGGGGTGTGTCCTGGGTCCCTGGGATGGCCTCCCCTACCCCGTCATGGTACCGTGTCCCTTCAGAAGGGAACCAGGGAGGAAGCTGGGATTTGCCGGCACTTACCTTGAGCAGCAGAGGCTATGTGACCATTTTACACGAGCCAGCTCATTCCGAGAGCCCCCCCACCCCCATTCTGGAAGCAAAGAGTCCGATGCAGAAAAAGCAACGGACCAACGGGAGAACTGCTTTTACTCCTGGAGGTCTGCCCCTCGCTTTACCACCTGCTTCTATTTGGGAGACAGTTTCTGGCAAAGAGTGAAAGTTTGGCTAATTTTCCCATCGTTCTTGGAGCCAGGCTGAGGTTACTTCCTTTGGACTGGGGACGGGAAGGATCCCTGTGTCCTAGGCCTCAAGATCTGTGTGGCTCAGGGCTGTGGCCTAAGCCATAGGCTAGGATGGAGTCAGAGGGCTGGCCGCCACTCGGAGCCAGGCTGGGGAGGGGCCAGGTAAGGCCTCCCTCTGGGTGGCCTCAGATGGACCCTGCAACGCGGTTTCACCGGTGCTCTCGTGACGGCCTGGCGTCTGCCGCGTCGGGCTCGGCAGATACCACCGAGTGCCTCTCGTGCTGGGCAGCTGCGCCGGGATGGCGGCCGCAGGGAGCTCACAGGCCGGTGGAGATCCCGTCTGGGTGGCTGCGGTCCTCACGTGCACACGGGCCGGAGAGGGCGGCACTTTCTGCTGAGGCTGGCGTCGGCTTCCCGCTTGCTGGCGAGGCCTCCTGCCCTGTTCTCCCCTCCGGTAGCGGGACTGACGTTCAAGGATGTTGCATTAACCTAAGGCCACGGTGGGGAGAAAAATAGCACGTGGGCGGCCCCAGACCTCCCCTCTTTCTGTTCCTCTCCAAGTCATGAATTGTGAGTCCTGACTTCAGCTTCTTGCTGTCCAGGAAGGGAACCAGTGAGGGAGGAGACGAGGCCACTTCCTTCCTCTTCAGTGACATTCTCTGCCTTTGCTCTCACCGCCATCTAAGTGCTCAGGGCAGGGCTCCTTGGGATAATTCCACCGTCTAGCCGTGCCCAGATGCCGTTCTGGGAGCACATACTTCATGCAGATTGAGCAAGAGCTGGTCGAGAGCAGGATGTCTGCAGAGAGGACCCCGGGGATTCACTACTTCCAGCCCCTGGCCGTGGGTGGGAGCATCATTTTACCCAGAAGACAAAGGAATTTTCTCCTCTCCGTAGAGCTAGTAATTTGCCGGTCAATATTCTTGGCGACTTTTGGCGTTAAGTGCTGCTCTAAATCAAATATCGATGTTCTCGTGAAGGTCTAGCGCAGACGGTGCAGCTCCTGTCAGCTCTAAGCGATTCACTGGCGTCACGGAGAGAAGTTCAGCACAACTTGTCACTTAGCTGGTTTTCCCTCCCAAGGGGGATCCTTTCTTTTGGAGGGAGGCGGACCCTGTCCGGGGCAGTATTCAGCCTCAGGGACAAGAGGCTGCCCCAGTCTTGGTGCCAGAGGCGGCGGCTGTTCCAGGGGCCTCTGTGCTTGGCTTTCTCACCGGGCACTGGTTTTGCTGCCTGTTGGCGGAGTGCCGGCTGCATTTTTAAAAATTTTTCATTTTGCAACAGTATTAGGTTAAGAGAGAAGTTGCACGGATAGCACACGGAATTCTCACGTACACTTCACCCAGCCTCATTTACCCTGATGCCAACACGTACCTCCAACATGGTCAAAACTGAGAAAGAACACTAATGTGTTGCTATCAGCCACTCTCCAGACCTGACTGGGACTTTACCCTTTTGTATTCGTGGCCCTTTTATGTTTCGGGTCCAGTCTGAGACACCACGTTGGCCCGATTCCTTGCTCTCCTCTGGTCTGCAGGTTTCTCAGACGTTCCTTGGTGTTCATCACTGGATGGTTTTGCAGACTACTGGGCAGATACTTTGCAGAACTTCGCCTGGTTTGAATTTCTCTAATGTGTTTCTCACGAGCAGGCTGGAGTTGCGGGTCTCTGGAAAGGGTACTTGGGAGGTCGAGGGCTCTGCTCTTACATTATTTCCAGGGTCCGTGACATTCACAGGACATCACTGGCGATGTTGACCTTGATCCACCTGGTTAAGGTCACGTTTGCTGGGTTTTTCCACCATAAAGCTCCTGTTTCCCGTTCCATACTGTTCGTTAGAAGTGAGTCGCTGAGTCCAGCGAGCTTCATCTTTCTTTTTTTTAGAGGTGGAGGGTGTCTCTGTGGAACAGTGGATTTTATCTTTAAATATCCGATGGTGATGTTTTAAAATCGTGAGACGTTTTAAAGATGAGTCTGGTGTTCCCCGTGGCAGCAGTTAACTGGCCTGGGGTGGCAGCTGCCCTCCCTGTCGGTGGGGACCCAGCTCTCCAGGTCACAGACCCCTCTGTCCACTTCACTCCCGTCAACCTGGCCCTTGCTGGCACCTGAGTCCGAGACCTCTGCCCGAGGGCACGTCCCCTACCGGCACCGGCCTGCATGTGGCCTCTTTAGGTGGAACTCTTCACTGATGCAAGGTTTTTATTCCCAAAATAGTGTGCCTTAACTTTGGCAATAAATCTACATTTTAAAATAATGTCTGTGCCCTTTTTGGGTAGCAGAAAGAGAAATCGTAAACTACATCAAATTTGTTATTTATCCTTGTACCACGTGGAGGGGTTACACGGAAAACATTGCTTAAGAGGAAAGAACCTCCTGGTCTGTCCCCTGGGTCCTTTGACCACGTGAGTGCGCTAGAAATTTCCTAACTTCAGGGTCAAAGAGCACGTCAGCCACCTAATGGGTGGAGGAAATTGGGCCTCACCACTGAGATGGTTTTTCTGGAACATGCATTTGCTTCTCGGCTCTGTGCTTTGTGAGGAGAGAGAGGTTTTCATGGAAAGCACGGGCACCTCCGTCCGCCCGAGAAGGAGATTTCCGTTAGCACAGCTCTGAGCTAGAAGACGGGGCGGGCCTTGCTTTGCATCCCCAAGTGTGGAGCTCAGCGGGGGCACGTCCGGGTGTCAATTATCTGAGCCATGCGGACCGAAAGCCACTAAACTTCTGCCCCCCACGCCGCCCGGCTGAGCCCGTGCCGACCCCCTCGCGGAGGCGCTGCTCATCACGCAGCGGACGCGCTCTCCGTGGGAACCCGGGTCAGGCCGTCGTACGTGCATGAGTCTCCGCTAACCGAGCCCTCCTTGTTTTGCAGGGGGGGCCGTTGGGGGTCTGTTAGGGGCCTGGATGACAAGCGGGGAGTTCAAGTCCGTTCCGCAGATCATCATGGAGCTGCCCCCCGCGGAGCAGCAGAAGCTCTTCCACGAGGCCACCGCCATCGTCCGGCACCTGGACTGGACGGACGCCGTGCAGCTGACGGCGCTGGTCATGGGCAGCGAGGCGCTGCAGCAGCAGCTGCTGGCCATGCTGGTGGGCTACGTCACCAAGGAGCTGCGGGCCGAGGTTCAGTACGGCGACTAGGCCACTCCCCAGCTCCGTCGGACGACTCCAGGGAGGAGACTGGGGGTGGGGGGAAGCCTTGCGGTCCCCTGAGAAACCCGCGCTTCGTCACTGCGGTCCCTTCAACGTGACGCGGTCGCCGGCTGGAGGAGCCACTGCCGTGCTGTGTCGTGTTCCAGAAATTATTTATGAAGACGCCTTGTTTCCGTGGTTGTGCGCACTAGTGAGCCGCGACAGCCCTTTGCCTGGCACCCGGGAAGAGCAGGGGCCTTCCCGCCGCAGGCCGTCGTGGCTGTCTGCCGAATCCTCGCACTCGCGTGGGGTCTGGAGGACGTTACCACATTCAGGTGACTTTCTGATGACGCTTCATCCTCCCCCCGACGGGGCCTTTGGCGCCTCTTCCAGCACCTGTTGTGCGACTGGTCCCCTTCCCCCAACCCGGGCCCTGGGGTCTCAGAGCCTCGCGGCGGCTGTCCCGGAATCACGTTTGCCCCCAGCGCGCACCCTTCCCCGCCGGGACTTGCGGTCGGCCTCCCGGAGTGGGGCACTCGCCCGTGAGTGAGGCTGGAGCGCAAGCGCCCTCGGCCCCTCCTCACACGGGCTGCGCGCCGCGGCTCTGCCCGCCAGGGCCTTGCGTCCACCACGCGGAGAGTCTTGGTGGTTCTTGAATTACACCTTTTATTTATTTATTTTTAGTTGTTTGGCCAATTTCTTTCTTTTTTTTTTTTTTTTTTTTTTTTTAGTAGAGACAGGGGTCTCGCTCTTGCTCAGGCTGGTCTCGACCTCCTGAGCTCAAACAATCCTCCCGCCTCGGCCTCCCAGAGTGCTAGGATTACAGGCTTGAGCCACTGCGCCCAGCTGAATTATGCCTTTTAAATGAACTGTTTTCAGTAAAAACCGCTGGTATACCTCTGAGAGATTGTGGGTTCAGTTCCAGACCACTGCAATAAAGTGAATATCACGATAAAGGGAAGTCACACAGTTTTTGCTCTCCCGGTACATTGTAGAAGTTAATGTTTACACCATCCTGTAGCCTTTTTTTTTTTTTTTTGAGACAGAGTCTTGCTCTGTTGCCCTGGGTAGAGTGCCGTGGCATCAGCCTAGCTCACAGCAACCTCAAACTCCTGAGCTCAACTGATCCTCCTGCTTCAGCCTTCAGAGTAGCTGGGACCGCAGGCGCATGCCACGGCGCCCAGCTAATTTTTCTGTTTTCAGTAGAGACAGGGTCTCACTCTTGCTCAGGCTGGTCTCGAACTCCTGAGCTCAAACCATCCTCCTGCCTTGGCCTCCCAGAGTGCTGGGATTATAGGCGTGACCCACTGCGCCCAACCTTATACTGTAGTCTTTTAAAAGTGTAATATCATGTCTAATAAAAGCATATACCTTAATGAAAAAATCCTTTATTGCTAAAAAGTCCGGACACAGAGACATGAGGTGAGCATGTACTGTTGAAAAAACGGTACCAGTAAACTTGCCTTCAATTTGCAAAAAAAAAAAAAAACCCAGTATCGGCAAAGTGCCATAAATCGAGGTTTGCCTATACTGCTCCTTCGGAAGTGATGTGATCATAAACCACCTCTAAGAAATGTTCCCACCCTGAAGATCCCCCTAATTCAGTTGACCCTCTGTGTCTGCGGGTTCTGAGTCTATGGGTTCAGCCATCGGATCAGAAATACTGGAAGAAGTTGTATCCGCACCACACATGTATGGACTTTTTTCTTGTCATTATTCCTTAAAATACAGTGTCACAACCATTTACACAGCATTTGCCTTGTGTTACGCATCATAAACAATCTACAGGTGATTTAAGTGCATGGGGGACGTGCGCAGGTTACGCGCACATGGCGCCATTTTACATCCAGGACCGGAGCATCCACGGATTTCGGTATCCGGCGGAGGTCCCGGAACCACCCCCGGCAGATACTAAGGGACACGGTACTGGATTCACTTTGCTTTCAGAGCTACAGCCTGAGCGCCGTCCGATTGCAATACAGTTCTTTCTGAAAAGTCGCTTTCCCACGTATTCTGTGTAAAGCATCTCTGGCATTCAGAGTCCTACACATGGAACAAAAGGGAAGGTACCAGATTTGTGGCTCTCTGCATGGACTGGTCCCCGGAGGTGCGGAGGGGACACCTCTGAGGGCCAGCTGCAAGGAGAGCCCCATACCCGGGCACCTCCATGTGCACGAGGAACCTCAGGGCGAATTGGAGCCCACGGCGATGGAGGAAGGAGCGAGCCTTTCCTCTCGCTCACCTGGCCCCACCCAGCAGGAGTCGGGTGCCGGGCTCAGCCTGTCTCCTGGAGTTCGTGAAGCTACTGGAATCATTTCTGTGCCGCTTGCGTTGATGGGGGGCAGGCAGGAAGCGGGGCTGTCTGTGAAAACGGAGCGTGACCTTTCTTGAACTGATCGTTTCTGCTCTTCCTGCTAAAAAAAAAAAGTCCCTCACCTGGTGTGAAATCGGAGTGTGCCCCTCCCCCCATTTTATGGCTTTAGTGGCCTCCAAAGTTGCCCCCTTTTTACCGTAAGGGTAAAAACATTGATTTGCAGCTAGCGTGAGGATGCAAACAGAATGAAGATTTTTGCAAAGCGAGGGGACACTTTTCCCATTTTGAACGGCACACCAGATTCTGCAGTTGCTTCCAAGTGATCCTTCTGGAAACACCAGGGCTGTAAAAGAGTTCTCTCCATCAGGAGATTGGGCCTCATCCACCCACGCTCAGGAACTGGGGCCCAGTCTGTGCCAGGCCCAGGGGACAAGGTGGTCCCAGCTCAGAGGTCCAGCATCCAGCCTGCCTGCCTCTGCCCCAGGAAGAAACACCACGGAGGGGCTGGCCCCACTCCTGACCAATGTCGTGTCTGGTGGAGCGGGCCTTGCCAACGGAGATGCCCTCGGCTGGCGGTCCTGGGGGGAGTCGGTGGCTCTGGGCCCAGGAGGGCAGCCTGACCTCCAGTCCATCCCTCCCAGGAGCTGAGAGCACTTTCCCTGGTCTCCCCCAGGGGTTCTTCCCCTTAGCCTGTCTTCTTAGCCCCCGTGGTTTCAGTATTTATATTTCTGTATCTTCTTTGCAAAAATCTATTTACATATTTTTGAGTAGCTAATACCTGCCTGGTGCAAAACTTAAAAGGTCCCAGAGGGTACAAACTGTGAAGGACTCTTCCCGTCACGCCGACTCCAGAGGCAGCCACGGTTAACAGTTTCTCGTGCGCTCCTTTAATTCGGTTTTTAAACGGTCTTCGAAAACTGTTCATTTCCTTTTATTCGTCAAGGTTGATTGCTGAAAACTTAGAAAAATCCTGTGAAGTGCAATGAAATAAAAACCGCTACAAAGTGCGCCGCCCAGAAAACTGCTGTTAACAAATTTGGTGTCTTTCCCGCAATCGTTTTAACGCCATGTACGTATTTTCCTAACATACTTGCATTTTTACTGTGTATACCTCTTTGAACACCTTTATCCGTTAACATTAAATAACATTTCTGATGTTTAATTTAAGTTTAATTTAAAGTTCCTTGTAAACGCTTGAAATGGCTGCAAAATGTTCCATAGCTAACCGTAGGCTTCGTGTGGTTTCCTTTCGTACATTTTTGCTGTTATGACGCTGCAGTGAATATTTTTGTGTTAATATTTTAGATTATGATAGTTTTTAAGGTGAATTCTTCAAAGCGAAATTGCTGGATTAAAAAGTATGCAACATTTGTTTGAAAGTGGTTGTCATATTTGGTCAAAATTCTTTCCAGAAAGGCAGTATCGTTAATTCGCTCTCCCAACAGCAGGACTTGTACCCTCACCAGGAAACAGAACAGTCGTGTCTCAAACCGTCACTCGTTCGGTGGGTGGCTGCTGCCGTCGTTCGGTTTCTTTTGCCTGTGGGTGGGGCCGAGTGGCTGCCGCTTGGCCGTCCCTCTGCTGTTACCTGTGCCAGACGCCGGGGTGGCCCCTTGGCGGCCGCCTGCTCCGTCTGGGTGGGTGCTGGCAGCCCCCAGGGCCCTGCGGTGGCCCCGGCGGGTGAACTGGGCTCGGCGGGGCTGCAGCTGCTGCACCGGTGGCTGTGGTGGCCCGAGGGGCTGGCACTCCCTGTGTGCCACGCCCAGTGTCACCCGGGCTGCCAGCGGGCGAGGGAGCAGCGGAGGAGGAAGCCTTGTGGGGACCCAGGAATTACAAAAAGAAACCATCTGCTCCGGGCCGGTTATTAACCTGCTTCGGGTGTTGTGACAGCACCAAGCGAGATTGTTCACAGGCAGGTGGTGTAGTTTTAGCTAGAATTAACTTTTCTGTCTTTCTGTGTTTTGAGATGTCTGGCTTGGAGGTAAACATGGCTGGGGGGTGCAGTGTAGGGGCCGGGCCGGCCTGGGGGACAGGCTGGGGACAGACGGGGTGGGGGGACAGGCCTGGGGATAGACCAGGGCACAGGCCCGGAGCAGGCCCAGCGGACAGGCCCAGAGCCAGGGCCGGGGGACAAGCCTGGGGACGGGTCCGGGGACAGGCTGGTGCGGGGAGCCTGCTCCCACATTAGTTGCCACCAGGTGCCACCTAGCGGCCGACGCAGCACAGTCCCCGCCAGCAGGTGGCACCGCGCTCGCGGGAGGCTGCTTGGGGTCCCAGGTGTGCCAAGGGGCCCAGGCCTTCCTGAGTAGCCGGGACAGGACGTTGACGCGTCTCCTGAAACTCTTCTGTGTCCTGGACCATCGGCACATGGCAGCTAAGAATCGCCGGGACTCGCCCGGATCACACAGGGAAGGGGGTGTCTGGCGTTTGCAGCTTGTTGGGAGGAGAGAAACGACTATCAGCTGGGGAGGCTGTTGCGGGTACCCCGAATTCCGGTAACGGAGGGAGTGGAAAGGAGCTTCCCTAAACTGTTGCCATGGCGGCTGTTCATTTTTCCGGGTTTTCAGAGAAGGACTTTAGTCATTCTCATTAGCAATTAAGCAAATGTAAATACAGTATCTAGGAGATACCGGTTATATTCCAATTAGTTAGTAAAAATAAATGCAAATGATCAAGCCCAGAGCTGCCGGGGCTGTGGGAAAACGGTGTACACACCTTTTGGGAGAGTGATTTGAAGGAAAAGTCCCAGGGCCTATAAAATTGTCTATACTTTCCAGCCAACTAATTTCACTTTACGGAAAACATTCCAATAAAATAACTCAAGTGAAGAAAAATGAAGATATTCATAGCACTGCTATTTGTAATGCAGGAAAAAACAGGAAGTAATTCCAGTGTTGAACTACAGGGAAATAAACTATGTGTGTGAGGAATAGTATACTGATGGCCAGTTTAATAAACAGTCAATGGAGGCCGGGCGCGGTGGCTCACGCCTGTAATCCTAGCTCTCTGGGAGGCCGAGGCGGGCGGATTGTTTGAGCTCAGGAGTTCGAAACCAGCCTGAGCAAGAGCGAGACCCCGTCTCTACTAAAATTAGAAAGAAATTAATTGGACAACTAAAAATATCTAGAAAAAATTAGCCGAGCATGGTGGCGCATGCCTGTAGTCCCAGCTACTCGGGAGGCTGAGGCAGGAGGATCGCTTGAGCCCAGGAGTTTGAGGTTGCTGTGAGCTAGGCTGATGCCACGGCACTCTAGCCCAGGCAACACAGTGAGACTCTGTCTCAAAAAAAAAAAATTAAAAAAAAAATAAAAATAAACTAGAAACACACGAGAAGAGATCCAACACCAT